AGACTGCTTTAGGCTCTTCTCTCACTGAGGCGCATACAAGATATGCAGCAGCTGTAACGGCTCTTCACTAAAGATGCTGGGAGAACATACAAGATGTGCAGCAGTTGTAACGGCTCTTCACTAAAGATGCTGGGAGATACAGACCATGCCCCCTCTGCACATAACTGCTTCTGACCAATGTGCTTTGTGTAGCTACCCCCATCATTTTTTCCTCCATAATAAGCTCTAGCTTTAAGATTTTAACTTAAGTAAGTGCTCATACTCATGCTCTGGACCTACACGCTTGCAACCAACTAGGAAACATGGGCTCTGAGTTTCAGATGCTCTGAATCCCACTAACTCTAAATGTCAGAAGCAGACAAAAATAATCCTATTTCTCCCTTTATTTCAGTAGATTTCCTCCTCTTTCACTTTATCTCATCAAGGTGAAAAACAGTATTATGGTCTATAAACAGGAGTGTGTGCACAGAAACACTTACTTCAGCTGTCTACACCTTACACAAGGTTTTTGTCTACACCATGGAATTAGAGCATTACCCATGCGTTTCCTTTCTCTTTCCAAGAAAACATTTATGAAGTTGAGTGACTGATAACACACATACTGTGGGAGAACTTGGAGAAAAGGGATCTCACCATTCCCAAGTTCATTTGTGTTCAGCAGCTTTCTGCAGAACTGAAAAAAGCTAGATCATGCGTTTCACTGCAGTTCAGCAAGATAAAGATCATATGCTACAGTGCTCTTCCTGTAGCACATGCTTCACATCAGGTTATGTATATCTAGAAGTTTGAAATGAATGTGGTGGCTTCTACTGATAGCACAGTAGATGCCCATCTCGTGTCAGTAAGTGCTTTGGCTCAGGCATACTGCATAAAACCTTACCAATTTCCTCAGGAAGGTGTGTGAGAAGATTCTCTCCAAGCCCAAGGTGCGTCAGATTGGTAAGGTGACCGATACCTCTGGGAAGGGTGGTCAACTGATTATTGGTCAGAACCAATTTCTAAGGGAAAAAAAAACCAAGTTTGAAAATTAACTTAATGACTTTTGCTTCGAATGACAGCAAATAATAAGATATATAACTGAAATATTGATAAGTTCTACTCTCCAGCATTTGAACAAAAAAATTTCTACCCTTCATCAACATTTCAGACCTCTATCAGCACCACTGAATGCAAAAATAAAATAGTATATGGAAAACATCTGCCCAAATGTAAAAGCTTTCATGAACATGACTGAAATCCTGTGGCATTATTGTACTCATAGTACAACAGCTAAACAGTTTCGAAGAGTTAAACACCTTCAAAATTTGTTCAGTATTAACTGATAAATCTGGGGAAGAACTAGTGTGGATGATAAAGTTGCACAAGAATCTTAACTTTGGTTCTATGTCCAGCCCCAAATAGTTTTCCCCCATCCAACTAACTGCAAATAAATCAGCATGGTGTAAATACAGGACGTAAGATGTTTATCTTGGCCAATTATTGTTTCACCTGCAGATCCTTGAGGTAAGCTATTTCATTTGGCAAGGATTCCAGTTTGTTTTCCTCTAGATCTAACTCTCGGAGTTTCCGTAGATTTCCAATTCCATGGGGAAGTTTCTTTAGGAGATTGTTTGACAGGATAAGAACCTAAAAAAAAAAATTCCAAACAACCAAATACAGACTTTAGGCAGTAAGTAAATAACAAGTTAAGACAGGATCTTTTTAACCTTTCAAGTAATTAAGTCCAAGATTAGCCTACATGTAAATTATGGAAGCAAACTGAAAAGACTAAATAAATCAATTTGGTGATTAGCATCTTTTTTTTTTTTTTAAAAGTCTTTAATGATACAAATACATAGATTTATGAGAAAATTCTTTCAAATATTATTTTACATAATAATAAATGCAGAGCAAAACCAAAGAACACCTTATTTCTTCAAATGACCAAAGAAAAACAATTTCTTCCTGGACTTCCCCATCATTTTATTATGCTTCCTTATAACTCTCTCATAATCAAGTTTTACATTATTTGCTGTGCTTGCCAAGTTCTCCTTAAAAAGCATAACACTTCCTCTTCTCCCTGTGTCCCTTTAGTTAGGAGCAGCAGCAAGTAAACATGCAGATCAGAGCACTGAAGCAGAACATGGCATAGGTATCCACTGGTTTTCCAAAACAGTCTCTTATCACACACCTGCCCCTACTACAGTGTTACCATCTTGTTTTTCTCCTCCTTTCTAATATGAATTATAAATACCCTAGGCTCAAGAAATGTGTCCTTTGTAATAAGCAAATTAACAGGGGTTACACTTTTTCCTCCAGAGAAGTCTTGCAGTCCTTAAACTAATCAAGCCTTGTGACAGCATAGTGAGTAGTAAGGTAATTAATTACTGATTAAACAGTCCTGTTACCTAGTCATTTAACAAGGTACATTGAAAGCCAAGGATGTGAAAGAGCACCCAGTGAGGACCCTCACCCTAGACACAACTCCCTGCTAAGCCAACCAAGGTTGCAAATGCCTGGCTTGTACCAATCCCAATTCTTACTAGCTTTATGTAATATGGAAACACCAAAGGCATGAACAGAATAGAAAACAAGGCTGAAACTGAAGTGAAAAATCATAACGAATAAAGCAGAAGTCTTAGCATAAGCACAAGCAGTATGTTGGTGGCCTTCCTTTATGCGCTACACTAAACACAGAATGGTAAGAATAGTAATGTTTTAATCACATATCAAGAAACAAAGGCAGGAACAGAAAATATTACCTACGTGCAACGCAGCTGACTTAGCACTGCTGTGGGAACCTTCACTTTTGTGTAAACACTGCCCAAATAGTTCTTTGTATTTGATTCTTTAATTACAGGGAAAAATAGCACTAATGGGTCTGCAAACCATGCAGCTCTCCAGCTTCAGCAGCCGGCAGACCACCGGCAAACCCAGTTTTTAGAGGTTACTTACCTCCCAGTCACGTCAATCACAGCCTTCACTCAAAAGGAACTGGGCCACTAAATAGCTATTATCCTGCCATATAATTTTTGCCCCAAACTACAGGAATTCTTACTTGTTCAGAGCAGCAATCACACTGGGAATTTGCAGTTTCAAATATGCCATTTGCTATTGTACTTTAACAGATTTTCCCTGCAACTCACAGAGCCTACAAAGTCCCTTCAACTGCCTGAACCAGCACCCCTATCTTTACATGTCCCTTCAAGGCAATTAAGTTTGTCTCTGCTCATGGTACCTTGAGAAACAGGAATAAGGGACACAACAAGTTTAGTTTATGGTTTCAATCTATGAGTTCTTCCCCCTCAAATGCTGAGAATTCCCACCCAGTTGCCTACAGGGTTCATGGTGCTACATTCAAGTAACCTCTGGCTGTAGACCATTTCATTAAGGTTTTCTGATCCCTGCTGTTTCCGTGCTGGTCTCTCCAGGAATCAAGCTGAGTTCAGTGCTGTTGCATTGACAACAATAACTTTCTACATAGCTAAGAATATATAAGTACTTAGCCCTTTGTGCACAGACATGCATCTAGAGCCTAAAGAAAAACATTCAAAAAGCTGTTATAATAACCATATACAGATGCAACACATCTAATTAAATAGCAGACATACACATATTTATTTGGCTTTATTTGACCCAAAAGTAATATTGCTTAAACCTGAAGTAGAGAGATTCACTTAGCTGTTCATTTATTCTCTTCTCACCTCAAGAGAAACAAGCCCAGATACATCCTCAGGGATTTTTGTGAGCTGATTAGTCGCTAAGTTGAGTTCTACCATACTAGTCCAAGTCCCAAAGTCCAAGGGGAGAGAGGTCAGCTGATTGTCCTGTGATTTAACATATCAAACATTTAGGGTCCACGCTTGCAAGAAGCTGTCAAAGCACCTGAGTTATTAAACAAATTGCTTACAAAATGTTTCATAACAAAATAGTCGATAATTAAATCAGAAGAATAAAACATTGGTAATTGTCCAAATACTTAATTCTTCCAAACACAATAAATAAATACCTAGAGTAACCTAGTGACTGTGTTACCAAAATGAAGTAGAAAAATCAGAAGTACACAGTTCTCAAGATTCCATGCACCTCAGTAGTTAAAATGGGTTTTTTGTCCTTTCTTTGCTGAATACAATGGGGAGAGAGGAGGGAAATATAATAAAATTTACCATAACTTTCAAAGGTGCTATCAGCAATGCTGGAATCCTAAAAATATATGGAGTTTACTAAACAAAGAAAACCCTCAAACAAGAAAGCCAGAAAACCCAACCCAAAACAAACCAAGCACACAAAAGAAAAGCAAACAAAAAACTCAAACTCAAGAACAAACAAACAGAAGTATCTGAAACGAACCTGAACATCTAACTGCTCAAAATGCTGATACAAAATTTGATCTAGAGTAAACACCACCAAATCTAAAACCACCCAGGTCATACAAAGTCCTGGTAAACATGCCAATTTACAAACAGGCATGTGATAAAAAATGTTCTTAACGCAAATTAAGAATCCATTTCTATCAAAAGATATTCTAAACCAGTAGCTGAGCTTAGCTACTGCACAAACATTATTTTCTTTAATTTGAATAAGTTTTTTTTAAACTTGAAACTAACCCATCCATAGAAAAACATCATCTCTTTTCCCTAGTTCTCTTTAAGTGTACATAGCACACACTGAAAGGCTTTTTCACTGTGCTTTACAACTACTGCCAAAAATCTCTAAACTTTAGTTTTGAAAGAATATATTCAAGATATTTTACATAATTTTGTTCATAATCTAAACTGTAACAGTAGAAGGAGGGAGGGGGGAAAATAAGCTACTCTACATGCTTGTGTCCCATGTGAATATTCAGTAACTTTGCAACCAACTTTCTTACTTTCATTGTTCAAACTTCATCAAATGTGACAAAAGCTTAACTAAAACAAACACAAAATAACAACATCTTGGTAGTACATTTTTAAACTAATACAGATTTGTTTCTATACATGACAGTAGCAGTATCCACTTCAGTGTGATAAATTCATTAAGTTTGCCAGAATTCATGGAGCAGCAAACAGTGCTCCTCATTGATTTTACACACAGTAGCATGTTTCTGTGCCTCACCTTCATGTTCAGCTTACTTAATACTTTAGCTCTAGAGAAAATTCCAAAGGGGATTTTATTGATGCGGTTGTGCTCCATATTGAGAGAGTAGATTGTGGAGAACTGGGACGGGCCACCCACAGGATAGGACTGGAAGCAGTTCCTGGCCAGTGTTAAACTAGTCAGTTTGACAAGGCTGGATAAAAGACCCTGTAGAGAGAAGAAAACCACCCAGGAACTTAGGACAGATTTATTTGAATACATCTTTTTTTCCCTCATGGGTCTAATTAGAAATGTTTTCCCCCCTCAAGTCCATCCCCTAAGTAAGTGTTGCAACACACAAACCAGTGTTAAATTTGATAAAACTTCCATCAGCAACAACCTCTGCTCACAGGAATCAGCGTTACCTTATTTCCCCCTTTCTCCTTACACACTGCCAAAAAGCAAACATATCACATTTAGAAGCACAAGTTTAGGAGGTTTTTAACTCGTTTCTCCTCTGGAAAGAATTTTTTTAATAATACATTCCTAAACCTTGGGCAGCTCTGAAGAGCACTGTCAGCAACACATCCATCCTGAGCAGCAGTCCTGGCTTTGGCCAACGCCACCCAAATGCAGCCTGTTCAGGTCTGATGCCTGCTCACAGCTGAAAGTGGGGCCCAAAGAAGTATCAACTGCATGCACTGTTTTTCAACCAGACGTTTGATACTTCCAGTACAAAGCTTTGATAATTTAATTAAAATCTATATTGTGATCATACCTGGTAGAAGTTTCATTTTAGTCTGTACCAGTTTCAGATAATGGGACAGGCCAGAGAAAAAGAATAGGAGGGGAAGGGTTTGGAAATTCCAAAATCTTTCCATGTTTTTAAAATACTCCTAAACAGTTATTACTCCACCTTGCCTCCACCTCCCTCTTCAGAAATGAAAAGCAAGAAGTCTGGAGTTAAACTGGATAGCAATGGTTGCCCATTGAATCCAGAGTCTCATTTCACTTCGCAATCTAATTAGACTCTAAAATCTCAGCAGCACAGGTCTCAGTTTACCTGGTAGGTACATGCCAAGCACGTTGCTGGAACTGCGGAGATGAATAATAAGATCTAAATTACTGCTGAAGTGTCACCTTTGCTTATTACTATGCTAACTTGAACTCAGCCCTAGTTGCTTCAGTAATATAGAAACTGGAGATTTATGCATGGCATTACATACCATAAATAATGCAACATCTGCAATCAGGAATGCGCGGTAACAAGATAATGATTCCAACCATATTCCTAATGTCAGTATTTCTGGATGGCAATTTCGGTGCTATATTCACTGTAAAAGCTTTAAGAACATGGCTTTGCTGTTTCACCAGGAAAGCTTTGGCTACTTTTCTAAATAGTTAATTAACATTATTGTAAATAAATCAGGATCAAATAGGGACTTGTCTACATGTCATGGCTAAAACTTTAAGCACTGACATACAATTCTGCGGGCATCTCAGCAAACATTAGTGAAGCAATTTTCCCCCTAAAGATAAAATAATGGATCTTCAAATCAGTATTAATCTAACCTAATCATTAACTAGTATAATCTTTGATTAGGAAATACTGCTTCTAGCTATACTTTAATTAACGGATACTCTTTGTCCTAGGGTTAGGCAGTCCCTGAGCTCTATTACAAAAACACTTTATTGCTTCAGATGGATCTTGGCATTTCAAAAAGCCATTTTTGAAGTCTGCTTCCATACAAATAATATTAAAAATATGTTAGCTAATACAATCTAATCGCCTAGAGTAATTAAACACATTTGAAGGAAAGCAAGAGAGCTTTGGCAGTACAAAGAGAACAATGCTCTTCTATCTGTGAGAGCTGTGGCAGTGCTGCCTTCTCCCAGCCCATCCTTTTAAGATAAAATATTTATTAGGCATTGTGTCAGCAGCTTCAGCTGTGTTTTGAAATTCAGAAGTTTCTTCTACAAATATAGTTCTTTGTGTTATAGCACAGAATGTTTAAACAGATTACAGTATAAACTATACACTTCTGAAAGGTAGCAGCTTACGTGTTAACATATTGTTGGCAAATACACGTGAAGAAGGCAGCGCAGTCACAAAGAGTTTCGTATTATTACTGAACATATTTAAAGCAAGTAATCATCCCTCACATTAGTTTTCTGTAATTATACCATAGTTGCTTTTACAGTATGTCTGGGTGGGGTGGGCTAGCTTTAGCCCTCATCTTAAAAGCAGCCTGGTGGCTTTCACTCTGCAGAGTTTTCTAAATGATAGTTTTACCTAAACGTTTATTAAATTCTCTGTTTTCAGTCTATTACTGCCGAGTTCAGAAATTTATCTGAAAGTACTTACTGCATTTTGTTACTACAAGTACTCTGCCTAACTCCAAATGCATTCTTTTTCCTTCTATCTGTAGTTTCCTATATACCTCTTTAGATAACATTTTAACTCATTTTACACTATTAATTTATACAGTTTGGGCAGGTGGAGATGACAGTTTAGAAAAGCTGTTTGGACCATCTTTAAAACAGAACAGAATAGAAACTCTGTGTTGTGGCCTGAAGTCTTCGTCTCAAAAGATTCTAAAGCAATGGAAGAAAAATATCCAGAATAATAATAAATCACACCAGATTTATGCAATCCTTCCCAGGCACTAATACTTCAAGTAAACATTTTTCTCTAAATGTTTACTAGCACCAAAAGTATACAGTATACAGATGAGCATCTCATACTCTGCTGCCCTGACAGTCTCAAGAAATTAAGAAAACAAAAAGGTTTAAAGGTATGACCCAGCAGTTTAAAGTTTCCAAGTCTGCAGACATCAAAGCTGTATTTAAAAAATGGTCTGTCACCAACTAGCTACCCAGGACTGTGAAACTGGAGTCTGCAGGGGCATGTTTCAGACAACACTAGAGAAGGAATACACAAAACTGTACAGATGCAAAGGGGACTAGGACCTTCTGCCTCTTCACCCCAGAGCCAGCAAAGCACTCTGTTCAAGGAATGTGTTAATTGAAGAGTCTGACAAGGTGGCTCCAGAACTTCTAACTATGGACATTTTCCTTGGTCCCCCGCTAAGCCGGAAGCAAGAGAGACCAAGCTAAGACAATCAGTAGTAGCTATGAAAAGCAAAGCAAAAGAACGGATTTCTCTTTACTCGCAGAGTCACTGGAAACTGAAAAACGATGCAAATTCTTATTTTCCATAACTGATGGAAGGTGTGTCAGTGAGTCGCCAGATGATATCACATTGGTTGTCAGCAGCATGCTTTTCCACACTAAAATGAGAATGCTGAGACCAGGTAGTTGCAACACTCTCTTAAAGGTCATTCTTGGCTTCATTAGATGGAGAAAAAGATATCCCATTTTTCATTTATCTACTTCTTCCCCACCTCCATGAAACAGAGTAATTTCACATGTTCCAACCCCTCTACAACACACCAATGCCTTACAACAACCTTCCCTCCCCAGTCCACTCCCTCTAATTCTCACCTCTGGTAAAGTAGAGATGTTGTTATTCTCCAGGTTCAGTTCATCAAGTTCACTGCACTTTGCTAAAGACTTCGGAATTGCTGACAGCCTATTGTACCTCAGGCCAAGACGACTTAGACTGGACAGATTTCCTACAGGTAGGAAACAGGTATTAATATATCATTAACACAAAGGCAAAGAACAAGGTTTGACTTCCGAATCTTCTGCTGTGTCACACTCCACTTCAAACATTTTCACATGGTGAAATGGAGCTACCATCCCAAAACAAGAGGCACACAGATTACAGCGCCTTCCAATGCTCAAGTCAGCCATGCAGAAGTAGATTGTGCACATTAAATATTCTTCATAAGTTATGAACAATATGGTAAGCAAGCAAGACTTAAGTCCTATTGTAGAAGTCCTTCTATCCTGATCTTTCTAGCATGAAAAAGCTCTATCATTTTCCAAATGTCCCCAAAGTGACTTTTTAAAATTAAAGACAGCATCATTCAATGTCGTGACTCGTATTACCAGACTTGGGCATACATTGCACAGCTCTGGTCCTGGCAAAACAATTTCCTCTGGGTGGGGGAAACTCTTTACCATCCTCCAAAAGCAACAAAGGCATTAAAAAGCGATGGCCTGGGGGAAACTTGCAACTTGAAAATTTTGTATCTGAAGCTGCCTTTGGCTCTGCCTTTTACCATTTAACAAGTTCTCGAGACCAAAGTCAACTGCTTAAGGATGTCTTTGAACTACATGGTGCTGGGGCATTTAGACTCTCCTGCAGGGCACAGGACCTGGAATTTCACTGAAAAGTTAACTGCCAAATACTCGCAAATAGTAACAGTGCTTTGTCTTCTGACTCATCCCTATGATCAGAAAATGTGTCTGTGCACGTGTGTACATTGCACTGGTGGAGCCTCTGAACAGATTCACACAATTAGTTCCTTGCAAAACATTTGCTATTCTGCACTGATTTTTACAACCACTCGTGGTACAACACATTTGTTCTGCAAACTGAAGTACCAGAAAGAGACACTGGAAAAGAAACATAAGATTTAACAAATGGTAGCAAGAATAATCAGAAACAACTTAAAATGATGACAGGAGTTTAATACGGTACAAGTCTAACTACTCATTAAATGAAGGCTGTATTAACATCTATGGATAAGTACTTATACAAAGGCTACTGGAACACAGCAAAGGAAGAAGCAAATGTAGTGTATCAAGTATTTGCTTGGAAGCCAAGGATGAAACAAAATAAAAAGAAATGGAGAATGAGAATTACTACAAATGCCACAGCGGGATCTGGCAGACAGTGGAAAAGTCTCGACAAGGGAAGTGGCAAAATAACTCTTTCCTGAACTTGGTCAAAATATACCAAGACAACTGGTCAAAATATACTGTAAGAATGACCCTAAATCACTAAGTAGCTGGGGACACAGCTAGGAAAAACTGCAAATTGGGACTGTTGTATGAGTCTCTGTAGCTACTAGGATAGAGATTCACACGAGCAGCAAAAGTATAAAAACAACCAAACAGAAAACCCCAACCATAAACAAACAATGCTGCACAAAACAGCCAAACAAAAAACCCTTATATAAAACAAAAATTATCCAGGTCTTACAAAACAAGAAATAAAAGATGAATTTTCAGTTCACATCTGATATTTAGGTAACACACTTAGGAACATATTTCACTTAGTATCACAAATAACTAAACAAAAGTTAAACGAGCAGGTAGGCACCCAGAGTTCCCTAACTAGTAGTACCTCCCACTGGGATTTTCATTTATATTTGAAAGTGCTTTCTTTCTGAGCAAGTACACAATCAGCTGTTGCAGAAATGGCAAAGAAAGTCTTCCCTTAACAACAAAAAAGCATTTAAAGCCCAGGGCTATCAATATTGCTCTTAAACTTTTGAGGTTAAATTCTACAGTGCATACGCACACTAAACAGTTAATTAAGCCCTATTTCGATCCTACAATCCACTAGTATAAAGATGCATGTTTGTACATAACGTAGCTATTTCATGCTGTGTTTGGTGAGATCTGGCACTGCTGGCCTTATGGGAAACTGGCCTTACTTCACAGGATAAGACATCCTATTGCAAGGCAGCAAGATCATCAGGAACCGTCATTCTAGGGATGAACAGAGTACGTCCTGACTGCATTTCTCTGAATTATTGAGTGCTTTACTAACAAAACAAACTGCACACAAAATACCAGTCTACTATTCTTTTCACTACTGAAACCTTGAGCTAGATGCCAGCATGGATTTTTCAGGCAATGAGGACGAACAGGGAACAGCTCTAGCAGACAGCACGATGCCAACTGTTGCTTAGCAATACAACGTCGCTGTGCCAGTTCCCAGATTGTGAGCACAGGTTGTATGTATATGGCTTTCTTCCTACCAGCAATGTGGCATTTCAGAGAGATGAAACAAGGCAGCCATTAGAGAGAGTCAAACTGTACCACAATTTTCCAGGAGAGAATGACACACGTTGGTTATCCTCATGGCATTATCAGAAAAGAGGCAGCTCCCAGTAAATTTGTTTTATCATAAATAGCATTTCTCAATAGAACTTTCTCACTGTTTCTCTCCTCGTTATCTTTCTCCTCCATGGGAAAAGCATGCAGAAGCATAACGGAAGAGACATCCTGTGTACCACATTCCCCGTGACTGTTTTACACACCACAGCACTAAATACAGTTATTCCTGAGAATAAAAGCAGCAAGATTTCAGCTGGAGCTTCATCAGTAGCACCTTTCCCAGTGCTCCTGAAAGGGCTGTCCTGCACCCAGCTGATGCAGGCAGTACGGGCTGCCTTTTCATTTCAAGCCAGAATTTATTTATAGCAAGTTTATTGCCATTTAGTCTTCTGTCAGAAAGACTCAGACACCTTTTCAACCTCATCAGAGTTCATATTCACACCTCATTGTGAACTTGTGAACACATCATGGTGAGAAACCTCTATCAGTTTTTATCTTCACATGCTGGAAAACACAGATCTTGAGTCTCCTCCTCGCAAAATCACCATCTAAGAATGATCCCTTAGAGCTTTTCCCTCTGCTTAACGTGTTAAAACTTACCTCCTTTTTTTCTTTTTTATTTGAAAAAGGACTCAGCACAATGATGATAATATTTCATAGAATCATAGGATGGTTTGGGTTGGAAAGGACCATAAAGCTCACCCAGCTCCAACTCCCTGCCACAGGCAGGGCACCCTTCCACTAGAGCAGGGTGCTCCAAGCCCCTGTGTCCAACCTGGCCTTGAACACTGCCAGGGATGGGGCAGCCCCAGCTTCTCTGGGCACCCTGTGCCAGAGCCTCAGCACGCTCACAGGGAAGAGCTTCTTCCTTTTATCTAATCTAAACTTCCTCTCTGTCAGTTTAAAGCCATTCCCCCTTGTCCTATCACTACATGCCCTTGTAAAAAGTCCCTCTCTATATTTATTGTAGCCTCCCCTTAAGTACTGGAAGCTGCTCTAAGGTCTCCCTCATGGTTCACCAGGCTCCATTCGCCTCATGGTCCATAGGCCAGCCACCAGGCAGCTGGCTAACATGCTCCTGCCTCTTCACTGCATCTCTGACTATGGAGTGACAATCTCCAGTTAGTAACAGGAACTGTTACAAGTGGCTAAATAGCACACCTGGTACACTGCATAACTGTAATTTACAGCTCCCCCAGCTGATACTCGTATTGGGAGTATCACTCCTTATCACACTTTACAGTGCCTGCACTCATCTCCATCTTCACCAGTTCAGCTACTGATTTCTGAGATGGCACCATGTTAGGTACTTCACTGACGTGCTGCCAGGTTAAGTCTAAGAAATAAGGGAAGGAAGGTAAGAACTGATCACCAAAGTCATCAGGATCATCTGCGGTTGTACTTTTGTCACTGAAACTGTACCTCAGCAGTTCCTCTAAAACCAGCCCCTTGCAGGCTGAGTGACTCAGAAAATGCAGCACTCAATGTTCATGAACATGACAGTTTGATAACCACAACTGAAAAGCAGCTTCTAGAAGGAAAAGCAACAAGCAAAACCCCTTCTAACTTGTTTTCTTAGGGAGTGCACTGAAATGAAACCCTTGTAAACTCAACTACCCCATCCGCTCGTACTTCTAAAAACACTAAAGCCTAACTAAGCCCTAAACTTACGCCAGGCCTAAGAAAGATACCGCATAATTGTTTTAGTTCAACTTTTGGCATGAACAGTCACTCCTGGGGATAAGCCACCTTGTTTCAGGTCCGTTTTCTCAGCAGTAAATGTACTGATCCTCATGAGTGAGCTCCACTTTGCCCAGCTCTCAGGTTTGAAGCAACGCTTCACTGGAGTGACTGCATGTCTCTCTCTGGGTTAGCTGTTTAATTTACACAGAAATGAACTAAAAATACTTGGAAGCATGCAAATCCAGAAACAAACTCTCTTGCTATAAGAGAGACTCTAAATAGATGGTTTAAATTAAATTCTTTATTAAGGGTACCTCAAAAATATTAGTCAAAGAATAAAAAGGTGTTTGCCAATCCCAAAACAAAGGGAAGACTGGAAATAAAGCAGGAAACTATGCCTACAAAAACACACTTTTAAAAAGACCACCTGAACTCCAAGTAGGAGCAATACACCCCTTTCAATATTTCAAAATCAAGAGAAAAAGGAACTGGAATGTTGAATAATATAAATATATCCAATAATTCAAAGTCCTACCAGTGCGTTCTAAAGGGAGTGAAAAATGTTCTTTTCTTCTGAGATTTACCACATCTCTTCCTTTCCCTCCCTTAGTTAAAAAATAATCCTTCACGTTCCCTATCCTTCAATGAAGGGTCATTTATTTAGTGGGAAATGTTACTGCATCACTACTAAAAGATGGAATAATTAGTCTGTTTTATAGAACTTAGTTCATCAAGTGAGTTTGCTATTGGAGCAGTTGCTTTCTCCTAAATAAACCAGAAGCATCAGATCAATTTAAAATCTGTTCATTAGAGAAAACTCTTCTGCATATAATGTTAAACACACGAGTTGGATTTATAAGAACTGTGCAAACGAAAACCCCGTAAGATTGTAATTACAAGAACTTGTGACAAACAACATGGTACTATTAAGTATTTCTGATCGTTTAACTTCTGTAAGTAGTCTTAGATATTGATT